TATATATATATATATATAACAAGTGAGTGAAGACTAAAAGCATCACCTTCCCCTCCCTAGAGCACAATGAGCGAGTTGGTAACAGATGAGGCATGACCAAGTCTGACGACAGTTGACGGGAGGAGCGGGGGATGTGCGGTGTGACAAGGCTGCCGTCACCGTCATTAATGAAACTGATTGATGATAGTGAAGCAGATGATGATGATCATGAAGACGATAATAAACTGGCATTACTGGCACATCAACAATAGTCAGTGATTATGATACATCTTTATACAGGATACTTTTAAATAGACTTATGTTCTGTGGATTATGATGAGATAACAAGTATTTCTCTGTCTAGTTAATAATAATAATAATGCCCCCAGCAGAGGGTTTTCAAAGGCACACATACAATGTTGATAATGTATTCAAACCACCAGATAACAGCAAAAATGTATAGAAAAAGTTCATAATCTATGAGGAATAATTTCTTGTCAAGTGAACATCTATAATACCCACTACAGAGACAAACAATACACTCCATTTCAATAAATAAGTGGCATAATAAAATAACTGTAATACCCTCTCTATTGCAGGACTGAAAAAATGATATCTTTTGTCAGAAGTAGAGCAAAAAATCTTGAGGGAAGAAACAGAAAAATCTCACATCAAAACAACACTTGTCAAATGCAAAGTGGGCACTGATATTATAGATAACCAGGCAGTTTTCAAGTAACACGTCAACGCAAGTGTCAATACAATCAGATAAATAAGGAAAAAACCATAGACAGGTTAAGCTGTACAAAGTTCTCACTCAGACAACAAATCGGGGGGAAAGGGGGTGGGGGGTGATGAACTGATGAAGAAGCCACAAAGCTCAAAGAGGGCTGTGTACACACCAAGACAACAAGCAAATAAAAACCGTTGCTCGGGGGGGGATCATATTCTCTTGCATCTGGAGCACAAACACACACCCTGAGGGTGCTGACAACACACAGTGAGGGCACGGACATGTGCAAAAACATAAAGCAAAGTCTAGAGCTCTGCACTTCTCAACCACAGCATTTGCCGTGTTCTTTTTTTCAATCAAAGAAATCTGCCCGACAACAGGAGAAGAGGAAACGTCTCAGAGACAATTTGATTCCGTGAATGCAAAAAGCAACAGTAAGAATGATTTGCACGACAATGAATACTCACACTTGTAATGCAACACACATACACAGACACAAACGGCAAAACATTTCCAATAAAAAAAAGTTCTCCACATCAGAAGAATGAACCTTCAGAGCTATACAAGTCCAATGTTCTATGTGCAGACAATCGAAATGACATCTCATTAATATTTTGGACACTCGAGACCCGAAGCGGAGTCAGGTTCATCATAATTCCCATGAGCGTTATATATTCACCACTGGCATTATATTAGCCAATGTGTTTGCCTCACATCTTGCTTTCATTCAAAAAACTCCCACCAGAAGAAAGCAAACAATCTGTTCCCTGACATCAGATCAGAACAGACATCGAAAAAATAAAAAAATCAACGGCACTCATTAGCAAATCCTTCTGCTAAATCAACCTCCTCTCTTGTCTATAACATTGGTTGGAACAAGAATCTGTTGGGAGTGAACAGTTCATGAACCATTGTCATCGAAACTTGAGAAACATCATACATCAGGACAGAGGAGCGAAACCTCTGATTCAATCAAAGAGAATGTGGGTCTGTTCAAACAACACACAGACGCCTGCTTCCCCTCAGATCAAAGCTAGAAGCCCAGCCACCAACTTCACCCCGAACAACATTTTGTTACAATATCAAAAGGTTGCATTTTATCATACTTGAAAGCTATTTCAGCTAAGCCTGTCACTAACATAAGGTTATACTTTCTGTACACAGAAGGCAAACTTTTCCTCAGACTACATGCCCGATACTTTTGTTTGGCAAAAAGAAGAGCAGCTCCATTTGACTCATTTTCCCTGAACTGACAGTTGCTGCATTTTTTTTTTTAACTCCCATCTGAGTGGCAGGTACTTGACTTGGTACCCATCTGTGACATCACAAAAACTGTTCTCCCTCAACTAAAACAATAATTTATGCTCACATTTAGTCCTCCTTTTATGAATGGACAGAGATATAATGCAGCCACACTGTCCCATAAGACCGGAACGTTTAACGGAATCACAGCAAAACCCAGTCATAGACACATAACAGATGTTGCAACTGAGATGCCCAAGGCAAAACCAATGATAAAAACCATTGCCATTACATTGAAGCTAACAACTGATTTACTGAAGAATTATTACATCCACAATAAAAGGTAGGCATTCAGCAAGAGTCTATATGACTGCTCGAGCAGCTGTACTGTTGAGACTCCGAGATCAAAGGGCGTCATTCTAAAAATCCAGATAAAATACATTTCATATTAGTATTAGGTCAATGCTGCTTGGGCTCAAGATTATAAAGATCTACATTGAGGACTACACCTCTTCTCTCCTCTCTTGTATCTATCATTGCTACCTCATTGTCAGGAGGACATTCTGTATCAATGACATTCAAAATTAAAATTCTTTAATTCTTTCATATTCACTGCAAATGACCTTCATTATACAGATAACTTTTTACCTCTTAGATACCTGAAAAAAGCAACATATACAAAGCAAACGGAGCTTATAAATATAAAGAAGGAAAAAATACAAGTCATGCAAAAACAGGCACAGTAAACACAATGAGACTTAAGTCTTCCAACAAAAAGATAAAAGCTGCACTTTAGGGAAAGAAGACAAATAAGAAAAAACTATGAAAATTCTACAAAGAAAAAGACCCCCCAAAAAATCTTTCCTTTTCCCAAATCATTCCATATCAGTTAAGATGCACAGGAGAGAAGGGAAACTACAACTCCTGCAAGCAAACCCAAACCAAAAATAAAACGTAACTCTATACACCTAGAGGAGTCTGTCTGTGTCCGAGTCTGACTGAGTAGGTTACAGTAAGTCCTCAGCCAGTTCTTGCTCAGTGTCCATCCGCTCAATTTGTGTCTCTGCCCTGGGTATAATGCAAGGGCATGCTTCCTAAATATCCTGTGTACAACAACTACGTAGCACAGAAGCAACGCCCTGACCCCTCATTTCTCCAGCGACCGCGAATGTTGAGCTCCCAAAGCTCTCTCCGAGCTCCTTCACACACATACGCACACACAGGGCCAAAACTAAAGAACTGACCATCCCCAACTGTTCACATATCCATACGAATACTCCTCCTCACTATCCTGCCTGGTATATAGCACTGGTGTCACCTCTACCAGACGTCAGTTCGAGAGTTAGGGTCAGGTACATGGGTGGGGTGGTAGGGGTGTCCTTTCTTTAGTCTAGCCCTGGTGGTATAAACACAATATGACTCTCTCAACCTTCACTACAACATACAGCAACAGGTGCGGCTGTAATCTGTACAAAAACCCGTCGTCAGTCAGCATGCAGTAAAAAAACTTCCTGTCTTAGGCAAAGCAAAAAGCAACAACTGGCGCTCTAAGCAAAGCAGTGGAACTGGCGCGTCTTCACAGGACTGATCTGGTATGCGGCAAACACTCCCGGGGGTGCTGCAGGCTGCGCCGTGGGCGCCAGGTATCCGGGGGGTCCCGCGGCGGCAGCAGCAGCAGCAGCGTAGTGCGGGTGTATCTGGGCGGGGTAGGTGGTGGCCAGGCCGGGCGGGTGCAGCACGGGGACCGGGTGCATGTGGGCCGGCAGGGGGTGGGACGAGTACTGGAGCTGGCGGGGAGACTGGTGGGCCGGGGGAGGGGCCACGCTCGGCGAGAACGCCCTGAGGAACACAAACAAGAGTTTGAGTTTAGTGTTAGTTAAAAGAGTTTTACAGCACTTGAAACAGAAATAGGTCATATAAAAGCCAAAAATTAGTGGTGTTACCAGACAGTGATATAAAAAAAAAACACGGAGGAGAGATAAGGACGATAAGTGTTTGAAGACAAAGAAAGAGCAAACCACACCAGAACACCCTAAGGGACAAAAAGGGAGTTTGAGTTAAGAGAACTACATCGACTCAATAGCAGTCATTTAGGGCTTGCTTGTTCAAGAAGAGAGAAGCACATCGACACAATTATGGTCATTTAGAGCAGAGAAAGAGGAAGACTAAATGACAGAAAAAACACTTGGAAAGAAAGCAAGTAGGACCTACCAGTAGCACCCTCCAATCACATGCATCTAATTCAATCAACAAAAAGGAAAAAGACAGGAATACAAAGTCTTAAATAAAACTTAACGCTTAAAAACTTTGATATCTTGTTGAGCGAAAGTCTCTAGCAAGTCAGTCCTACAGTGTCCCTATTTCAGTAGGAACCCTATTTCAGTAGGAAGAGTTTGAGTAAGACAGAAACAATTGATGAGAAAGAAAAGTAGACGCACATACCAGAGATTCTTTCCAGCCACCAGAGTATTACTTGGCAGAAGATAAGAATAGAAACTCTAAAGAAAAAAAAATAGCAGCAAACTCCACAAGGACACCACTAACCACACACTAAAAATAATAAAACATTAAGAATAATAAAAAGATAAATATCTCAATGGCAATAATGGTCATTTCAAGCAGACAGGAAGCAAAACTGACCCAATAAATCCACAGAGGGGGTTAAGGTACAATCGAACTTTCAACCAGCATCCTTCAACCACCCAGATACAAAGTTTTGAAACAGACAAGCCCCGACATCTCATCAAAGGCTGTTGTTTCACTCTATCCTTTCGAAAGACGGACTTATGCTCCAGCTTACCCAAACTGTGTGATAGAAGCAGAAGAGGGCAATGCCATCTGCTGGTGTTGATGGGCAGGCAGCAAGTACTGGTGCAGGGGAGATCCATGAAGTGGGGCCATACGCCGATAGTCTCTGTGGACGGGTCAAGGAAACACGTACATTAAAACAACAGCACAAATACCAATTGTTGTTGTTCCTGAAGTAAAGAAAAAAGTATATCGACACAACAACGGTCTCTTAGAGAACGGAAATGGTAAGATATAGACAGAAGAAGTAAAACGAAAGAAAAGAAGGACTCAACAGTGGCACCCTCCAACCACCAATACACACCAATACAATGGCACACATATCAATACAACAGCACACCAAACTGTGTTAAAACGAGAGTAAATGGAAATCTGGTGTGAACACTCCGGGTCTTTCAGATTTTTTGCTCAGAGAGTCACAGGACATGCGGCAAGAAAGCTGCCCCCCCCCCCCCCCCCCAACAAATACAGTCAGCATAACACACACAAACTTTAAAAAATAAAAAAACTGAGCCCCTTACCCATGTACGTCGACCTGTGAGCCAGTGTTGAGCAGCACAGGCTGAGCCAGCTGTACGGGGGACAAGTGACTCATGCCCGAGCTGCCCGCCTGCTGCACGCACAGACGCATGTTGCTGGCCCGGCTACCCGCCAGGTGCGAAGCCGCGCTCAAGCTGGGTCCAGGGCCGCCAGCCGCTGAGAGACTCCCAGCACTCACGTTGACGGCAATCTTGGCCGCTGTGGCTGCGGGGATGGCCCGGACTGTGGGTGACACATATGCCAGTTTTCCCTGGGCGGCCGCTGAGCTCAGCTCCAGCTGGACGTCAAACGGTGTGAGTTTCTCCAGCTTGGGAGAGCGGACGCGCAGCCGGTCCTTCTCCGAGAGCGAGGGCGCAGCCAACAGTTCCTGCTTGGGGATGTAGGGGCTGACCTTGACATGCTGCTTGCTGTGGTGGTGGTGCTGGTGGTGCTGGTGGTGGCTGCTGCTGCTCTGGCTACTGCTGGTGGTGGTGGTCACGCCCGAGGCACGCTGGTGCACCGAGCTGCTGGCGCTGTCCGAGCCCAGGAGGTGAGGCAGACTGCTGCTGCTGCTAGCACCACCAAATGACTGTGGGAACAGAGGAAAGTAGTTAGATGTATCAATTGACAACGAAGAAAAGAAAAGAGAAAAGAGAAAAAAACCCTACTGAACTATTCAGACCCGTAGTGACAAGCATAGGGATTCAAAATCCACATACCACATTGTCCCATATATCTTGTATCAAGCCTTCCTAATGTTAGCTTCCAGTCAAGCACAATCCAGACAACTTTGGAAATCCGGACTTCTGGATTTATCCGAAAATTGGCACCTCTGAGTAGTTCATACAACTACAACGTAGATGCACACTAAAAATTAATATTTTGTTCTAAAACAGCAAATCAACATATTCTCAACTGAGTACCATGTAATGACCTGTCAAGAAGAAAGTGTCTACATTACACAAAAAATGTTCGTATTCACTAGGTTCATTACAACAGTAACCACTATGACCTATAACTATTATAAATTTGTTACAATACCGACTCCACATTAGGTGGAACACAGCAAAATTATGTTACGAGGCAATGCCTCCGAATTAAAGGTCCATCTCCAATTTGACCCAGCCAAGTACGAAGAATGTCTTGAAAGCTCATCAAACAAGCGGAGTTCAAGAACGCCCCGTTGGGAATATGAACCACAGCCATCCACATTGAACCCCAGCATGACACCAACCAAGCTAAAAGTATGCCCCGGATTCAGTGAATGCATGTGTGTATGTGTGCATGTCGAAGAAGGGTGCAACTTGCCTGTGTCCAGCCATAATGTCATTTTGTTCAGGCTTCCCTAATACTTTTATAAGGATTTTTCTGTAACTTATTTTCCACTACCTTTTTTCATGATTTTTCCCCAAACTTTCTACAGCCTCTTTCATAATTTCCTCCAACATTCCACTGCCTTTGCGAAATTTTTCCCTCACTTTCTACTGCCTTTTTCTTAATTTTTCCCTCAATTTCCACTGCCTTTTTCGTGATTTTTTCACTTTCCATTTCCTTTTTTCTTGATTTTTCCCTTAATTGTTTTACTCACTACTGACCTGAGGGGTAAAAATGCTGTGAGAGACGGGCAGTTTGTCCATGAGTTCGTGCTTGATGTTGCTAGCAGTAAACAGATGAGGCTGATGATGCTGCTGCTGATGATGATGAGGCGGCTGCTGTCGCTGAGCGCTGCTGCTGGCACCACCGATGCTGCTGGGGCTGCTGGCAGGGCAGGGCATGGCGGCAGCGGCGATCCCCGCCGCCAAGCTGTTGTTGCTGTGGGCCAGCTGTAGGCTGTTGTTGGCTGAGGTGGTGGCCTCCTCTGTGTCTGACTCGTGGCTGTAGGCCACCGTCAGGTAACCATCGTCTGGTACACGAGAGCACAATGTCAAGGTCAAAACAAAATTGACTCAGTTTTTGTTTGTTTGTTAGAGTAAAGAGAAGCACATCGACACAATAATGGTCAGATAGTGCTGGGAAAAGGTCAGACAGACAGACAGAAAGAACAGAGTAAAGTTATGAGGTAGGACCTTCCTGCGGCGCCCTCCAACCTCCCGCACGTCTTTTTTCTTCTGGCCTTTTGTTTTTATACACAGTTGAACCTGTCCAAGACAACCCCCTCGCCTCCTTAAACACAACGAGGTTTTTAATGAGGCAGAACCTCAACATCTAGCTCCAAAACACAAAGATTATTCTGTCATTAGCAATAAAGTGCGATTTGGGCGTAACCATCATCTGCCACAGAAGATCACAACATCAGGCTTGCATACTTTTTTAAAACCTTATAGGGACCCAAACGTTATAACATCAGATTTCCTAACAACAAATAACATTCCATTAACTCTTTCCGCACGTAGTTATAACATCAGATTTCCTAACAACAAATAACATTCCATTAACTCTTTCCGCACGTAGTTGTTTTGGAGTCTAGACGTAATGAATTTGTGACTCGATTCGGCTACACAAGTGATGTACAAAATAACTTCATATAAGCGTAAGCATCACTCAAAACGTAACATATGATATATCAAATTGAAGGAAATTGAATAAGGAATACATTCCAAATTGAAGCAAGGATTAATTTTGAACATAAGTATGCATTACAAGGGTTAAAAATGGCGATGGTGGTGAGAAAAATACATTTTGACGGAAAAACTACACACACTAAACATGTGAAAGTGAATCAGCATAGCTATCTTATTATATACAGGCCAAGAGCACACTCCATAAATTTCTGAAATTGCAGCTTTGTATTTGAATGCAACATTCCAATTTTTGTTTGAGTTATGATATTTATACTGAGTCCGGTTAGATCGTTTTGTTGATGCAAGACCGCAAGAACTAATTCATTTGTTTTTCGCTAGACTGACGCTTCGCCAAAGTGAAACTAGATGTTTTCGTTTCCTAAACCCTTTCCAAGTCTTCAAAAACAATAAAAAGTACTTATAAAGGATGAATCATGTTAAAACGAAACAAAACTGAGGCACCCCATCATACGTCCGCAAGGGGCGTGGACTCGCCATCCGGAAAGAGTAAAGTAGGACTGGTTTTCGTGTAGTGTGTGTTATAAGATAACGCTTACAGTGAAAATGCCAAATCTGGGACATCACCAGAAATTCATGACAGTTGGCAAGTCAACGACATACACATTATTTTTGGTCCTTTTGGAGGTACATTAAGATATGAGCTTACCAATTATCTTTATATAAGTCAAATCACAACATAACAGGTACAACAATAATATTACACCAAGACACTAAACTCACCGAAAGTCTGAACAAGCGCGGAGTCTGAGAAACTGGTAGGGAGGTAACCGAGTCCAGTCTTCAGGGTACTGTCATGTCGTCCACTGAAACGTACAAACACAGCATCCAAAATCAAACTCTTTGCCTAGCACAAATCGTTAGCTCGTGTTAATAATACGGCGTTTTAAAAAAGTAGCGATACATCGGAGCATGGCATAGAAAGTGTCAAGTGGTGGTGAGTGGTGGTGAGTGGTCACTCACAGCAAGCTGACACCTCTTAAACACAACTTTTCACAGAAGTTGATAAGGAATACAATGATTATTTCGACCAGAAACAAGAAGCTTAGTTTTAGTTCTAGTGATGGGAAAAAGAAAAAGGGACAGAAACTCTGCTGCGCCTTCCAACCACCCATGTTCTACACTTCGGACAAAGCAAAAATATCAACAAAGACAGAACAACAACAAACACCACCCACCTCCTGGGGTGCCGCGTCAAAGCTGTGCTCTCTGCCACACTCTGGTCACCGTCCTCCCTCCGAACGTTCTTCACCTGCAGGTAGCGATCTGACTGGTGGTGCTCACCTCCGGCCACCACGGTCTGCCTACTGCCGTTGCGGTGGTGGTGGTGGTGGCGGCCAGAGCGGGAGGAGCGCATGGTACGCAGGCCGTCCCCCTCGTCCTCGCTCTCCGAGCTGATGGTGATGACGCTGGGGTCCGGGCTGGGCGTGTCCCGGATCAGGATGTACGGGTGGCGCGGGGCAGGCTGGTCCTGCGAGCTGGTGAGGGAGACCGAGGGCAGCACAGGCCGGGAGGACACAGGCTGCCTCAGGTGCGAGGACGCGGACGACGACGCTGACGACCAGTCTGCCAGGTGCAGGAGGGCCGCTTCCTCGGCTGTCGGGACGGCCGGCACCCCCTGGTGGGAGCTCGACTGATCTATGAGGGCCAGGGGAGGGCTGCTCTCCTTTACACGCTTCTTCACTGGAGACAGCTGGGTAGACGGAACCTCCTTGTGATGTCTAAAGAGAAGAGAAAGATTATCCCAGGTGAAGACAATGACCACATACACTGCTTTGAATATTATCTTTTCATTTAATCTCCATTAATCATCCCTTTTTTAGTGGTACATGTAGATTAAAATTTGTTCTTCAAGGAGGAGGGGTTTCGAGGTTTGGATTTTTATTGGGTATAGTTTATAAAACACTACCACACAAGACAGCCTCCATAACCATAACATATAAGAAACAAAACCTTTTTGCTGACGCTTTTTAGTTTCACTTGTGCGAATCAGAATTCTAAAGCTTATTTTGCATTAGCGCATTGACTTGTGTGGAGAACAAATGAAGACAGATTTCTAGCCTGGTGTATTGTACCTGTAGCGAGTCGGGCGCTTGCTGCTCTGTGCAGAACTGTGGCGGGCACTGAGAGAATACGAGGTGGGGACCATGCCGATATTCCACTGTTGTGACGAAGTACTCTGAAACACACACAAACAAATAACACATTAGACATGGCATTCAACAAAGCTTATTTGTTTGAGCAAACAGAAAATCACCTACATATTACGGGTCTTTTACAGCCAAGAAATACTAAGGCAGGCAAACAGAAACAACAGAAGGGAAAAACATTAAAATACACCAGTGGTGCCCTCAAGCCAGTCACAATCTACCCAGCAAGAAAATGCACTCAGGCAGCTGGTAAAAAGCAACCAATACCAGTCTGTTCAAACCTCTCGACAAACGTTATCAAAGGTAGGCTTGTTCAATCCCTGACTACACATTTTTAAACCAGTACCTTTGATATATGATATATCAGAGACAACAAGATACTGGGAAATCGAAATGTACTTCTCCATAGAAAGAATCCTGAACAAAAAATACAAAAATTGACAGGGAGACAAGAGGCTAAAGAACTGAAAAAAATAAAATACAACAGAAAGGAGAAATGTGTCTGAGTGAGATTCAACAATAAACATGTAACTTTCCACTCTTTCATAGAACAAAGTATCTCAGAAAAACTAGCAGTATATGCTTGAATCCAGGAAAATATCCCCAGATCAAAAGGAAGGAAGAAGACAGGATAAATAAAAATAATCCAGTGTGAAAGACGACCCAACAAAATGTAAAGAAATTCTAGAACAAACAGGCAAATTATGAAGTAAAAAATTTTTTTAAATTAAAAAAAAACGAGCTTCATCCTCAACCGACCAATGGCAGCACAGCCGTGGGTGTGGAGTCAAAGGTGTCAGTGCCGACCATGATGGGCTGCCTCCATGCCTCGGGCGGCAGGCCGTCCTGTAAGTGGGGCACTCGTTGAGGGGCGGGGGCCAGGGAGGGCCAGGGACCCATCACCACGGGACGACTGCTGGCCCAGCTGCCGTGGGCATTCTGGGGGAAAGGAAAACAAACACAAACAATGACATTTGTTCTCTGAGACAGGAGGTAACTTTTGTCTAAACAATTCTGCTCCTTAGCAGTAACACCAGTCATCAGCAAGCTTGTAGCTATAAAAGTAGAGCAGGAAGCAAAGGGTTGTTCACCACAATAAAATAACAACCGTCAACCCAACAACAATAATATTAATAACTACTGAAACAATAAAAACAAATTTGCCTTACATTTGAGGGATCTAACGATGAAAGAAAAAGTCTTGTCCACCCAAAAGTCAACACCATTTCACTTCTCCCTCTCCAGACATTATATTCTACATTTCACATTTCTTGTAAAAATCATGCATGTCATACAATTTGGTCACAATCATAACACAATTCCCTTTATTTTCTGTTGTTCTGAAAAACTTTAGAATTCAACACTTACCAAAATCAACCTTATGACTTGAGAAAAAGTGATAAAGTCTCAATAATCAGATTTTAACCCATGCAACAAAATTCCGCAATACTGAAACAAGTAACAGGCGTCTAGAGACCATGAAAAAAATTGACTTAGGTAATTGTGTTATGACCGTGGTGATTTGGTCAACAGCTCCTGAGCTCATCTTTTTTTTTTCTGTTTTGTTACTATACCATCTCCTCCATCAACTGCAGTACCACATAAAGCCCCTGACAAATTAAAAATTCCATTACAACAATTACTTCACCTCACCATCGACAGTATTTCACCATTCTCTGCAACAGAGAGTTTTTAATGCATTTAATAAGACTCACACTTTCACCTTTATCTCTGCCCCAGTTACAGCAGTACAACCAGATATTCCTTTCAACCACTAGGTTGTCATCACTGGTTTTCACACCAACATTGAGTCGCAACATCAAAAAAATATAACGTATTTCACAGCCGTAGGAACTGGCCAAAAATATATATAATATATTCACACATAAATATAATGGAAATGCTTCAAGCACAGAAAAGCTACCTTACAAAAAAATGGCGCTGTACCAAGAAAGCACAATCTAGTTTTGAACAACATAAGGTAGACATTGTCACACAAGCATAAGTCTATGCCAAATAGTTGGAATAAGCCCCTGTCTGTACAGCTACACTAGCACATTCCTCTACACAGTCATCAAACAACAGGCTACAGCTGCATTCAGACTTGCTCAAGAAGAACACACAAACGGTTCATCCTGTGTTGGAAAAAAGCAAAATGGCACACAGCAAAAGCTAAATAATTCTAGGGCACACCCTTCAGTGCAGGGATTCATTTAGGTGGTAGGTTACAAAGCACACACATTAGGTAATAAATACGATTATGGGGGGAGAAAAATTAGTTTTGATGGCATAGTAGATAAATGAAGACAAAACAAATGGCAAGATTCTGCAATAAAACAACAATAAAAATTTTATGGAAAAGGAGACAAGATTCCTGTCCTTGAATACTGAAACAACAAGCAAAGACAACAGACCCACTATTGCAAAAACTAGAGAGTCAAAAATACTGCTGAAAGTCAGCATAAAATCCTGGTCAGACCATGAGATAAGACAGGGACAGAGTATCTCTTCCCTCAAGACTCGCAGACAACGAAAATCCCACACGAAAACAGAAACCAAATTAGAAACGCATGATGATGATCACCCTCTCATCCTTATCAGTGCTATAGTCTCTATAGTCTCTCCCCTTGTCCTCATCATAATCAATGTAGCTGTAATCATCACTCTCATAGCCTGTAACTGTCTTCAACATCATCACCATAGATATCATCATCTTCACCCTCTTTCACTACAACTGCAAACAATCTTTCCAAACTCACTTAAAGAATGTCTCTATCTACATCCCCACAGCTGAGCACATTTTAAAATTTTTAAAAAGCCCTACTAGAAGGACATTTGGCAACCATAAGAAAACATTTGGGACACGTGCCAAATTCTTCACACCTCCCCCCCTCCTGAATCTCATAAAGCCAAATGCTCAGTGAGACAAGGGGCCGACTTCAGACTATCAGATTGATAAAACTGATCCAATTATGCAAGGCAAACACATATGACAGGCAAAAAGCAACAAAAACAAGCTATTATTTCCATCACTCTTATACTGAAAAAATTCTGCTGGGAAAAAAAGTTGTTCCGTCGGTCATAACCTTTATGTATAGTATTATCACAAGAAAAAAAGTCTGCACAAGAACGAAAGTTTCATCTACGTTCATCAACAGCAAAGGTTTCACTTCAATTGCAATCCCTTTGACTTTTGACGGAAATGGTTTGAGTTGATGTTTGCACCCTGTAACTACGACGATACTGCTACATTTCACCAAGAACAGATTATAACAATACCGCACACACACAGACTACTAACTACTTTTAACCTATGCAAACCATAAGGGTGTGTGTGGGAGGCACCATCCATGTTTCAAATAAATGAATAAATAAATCAATTGATTTTTTAACAATAAATAAATAAACAGAATGTCTAAATAAACAAGTAAATAAAAAAATAAAGAAAGAAATAAAAAAGATTGACAGCAAAACAGCAGCTGACAGTGTTCAAGCTCCAAAATCAAAGCATGTATACACTAAAGCAAGACTAGATATGAAGAACACTACACAGGGATGATTGAGACAGAGAGAAGCTGAAATTTGTTAGGTCAACAGCTATACAAGGAGAGTAATGATTGACATGTACCCAGTATATGATTGAGAGAAAATTTGTTACAAAAAGAACAGCAGGTCACTCTAAGCTCAGCAAGAAAGTTTAAAAAAAAGTTATTAGTGTTGTACAAGTGGTAGAAAAACCAGTGTACATACAGCCATGAGAACTGGCCTGGCAGTTTCCACCATTGTGACAGGTGTGAGCTGCGAAGTCTGAAAACAAGTGGAACAGTCCTGTGTCATCAAACAGAATGGTGAGGGACACCAGTTCAGTTCTACATTGTGTCAGAAAAACCACTTCACTAAAGCATGACTTATCTGCAGTACCACTTCCGTATAGGGCTGGGCGAGTTCATTTGTCCACTGTCCTTAATTGTTTTGAAACACACGCATGTATGCACGCACGTACACGCACACACACACACAGACACTGGCGCGCACACACACATATCCCTTCCCCAAACTTATGGGGACCAACCTTCCATACAACCTGCAAGTAGGGTGTAGTTAAACCAGTAAATAAACCCAGAAAACAACATCACTAATTTGGCAGGACATAGTCCAGCCAGTGAAAGAACAAGCACTTTGCGGTACAGCTCAAACTACAAGCCATGGATTTCCTCGGTCCAATATCGACTTATGTCCAACCAGATCTGTTAACCACTGGTAAAGGCCAAAGATTTATTCGTTGTGAAGAGAAACCAGAGTTGCTAACCACGAGGGCTGCAGGGAATCAAATCTCCAGCAAGTGGTAGTATGAGATTAAAAGAGTTCAATCTGCATTTTAGATACTTTTGAGATATGAGACGCAAACGTAGACAAAACATTTTTCGTAGGTTTTTTTTTTTTTCAAAGCAGAATAGTCATTTCAGAACGAAATGTGGATAACAACATAGTATGTTGCAGAAACTGCAACAAATCGTGACTCAAAATACCCACATAATGTAGACAGAACCCTTTTAATCTAATACATCAAAGTGTCTTTCATGGCATGACTACATCGACACTTCACGCAGGAGAGATGCTAAGACACAAATGTCATCCATGAAGCTACCATAACGTGGAATGTTAAAGTGATATCTACAGAGTTCCTTCCCACAGGACTTTCGTCTAGCACACACTACACCTGGGGTGTGGACAAACAATAAAGTATTTTCATGGGGACACCAACACAAAGCTTTCACCACACTACATACAGCAAACACATACTGTCAGGTACAATTCATAGGTCAACAATTTACTCCACAGAAACACATCTCAACTCATCACAGGCACAGACTACATCATCACTAATGGTGCCACAATCAATTGACAGCTGCACTCTTTAACAGCAATATGAACAGTTCTAGAATGGACTCCGCCTTTTCAAATAAGAGTACCTTTACGAACTAAAATGGCCCTTGATCATAAGTGCTGTGATCACGCAAAGGTTCTCATTGATTGTCCAGACAGACTCAGAATCAAGTTCAAAGCCAGTCTCTCTCTCTCTCCCCTCCTCCCATTCCTACTCCCTCTCATCAGTTTCTGTCTCTCTCTCTCCCCTTTCCATTCCTACTCCCTCTCCCTCTCATCTCTTTCCCCTCTCCTCCTCCCCTCCCCCCTCCCTCATCTGAGTTTCTCGCTCACCTGGCTAATGAGCTGTGGCTGTATCTGTAGTGTCGGGGCAGGCTGGGTCACCATGGAGACAGCGCTGGGACGAACGGGAGAATTCAAACCTGCAAATGAAGCGTTGAAAAACACTATGAAATATCTGACCTTGATCATGGTACTTCATAAAATAACTGTTAAAAACCCCTACCAAGACAACACCTGGATTGCTCATGTGTCATGTTTGGGAAAGAACCCACATGTGGATGCATATTGGCCTTATAAGCAACTATTTTGAATGAAAATATCTTTAAAAATTCTATGTATACCACAGTAACTGTAGACATACAATCAAATGGTGTCTTCTCTCTCCTGAAAAAAACCCAGCTTTTTTTACATGTATCTGGCACACGAACCACTTAACTAACACCATCATGTGTTACAAGTATTTTTCCCTTGCATCTGACAAATGGCATAAAAAGTGCATTTGACACATATCTATTTGACATTGCATGGGCAATGTGTTTATGACACACAACAATCCGACACAGCAAAAATGTTTAACACACATCTAACATAAATGCGCAAAAACATTTTTTTGCACACACATCACAAAACCAGCATTCTCAACACCTTTTAAACACAGCAGCTAAACTCACCTGGCAAGGTCGCAGGCACCACCAGGGAGGGCATGCACAATGACTGTCGGAAGGGATCTGATCGGGCAAACTGACCCGAGGACCTCTGGGCAGCGGCGGCTGCGGCTGCCACCGTCTGGTTGAGCTGCTGGCCCACGGGTGTGGCCTGGTACGAGAGGTAGGGCCCGGAGGGCAGGGAGTACTGGAGGTACTGCAGGTCTGTGGCGCTCTGGCTGTGGCTGTTGGAGGAGGCCATCTGAGGGGAGGCAACAACATGGTCTGTTCATGTACTGCAAGACTAATAATATAAACAGCAAAATAACAATAATAAAAACAATTATAAATATAATTTGAAAAAGAAACAAATGGGGAAAATAAAGAATGCCCCAAAAGTGTGTACAAATGACCCATAATCTTAATCAAATCTATGTGTATGAACGAATCAGTTTATTTCAGTTCTCCAAATTACTGAAACAGGCATAAAGTAGGGGAGAAACAAGACAACACTGATCTTGAAAGGAAAACAGCGAGACTGAAGAAGTAATCACTGTGTATCCATGACTCACCTGTGAATGCAGTGCATTAATCTGGTTGTTGATCTGGTTGTTGTTGAAGGTCAGGGTGAAGTTACCGCTGGAGGAGGGGACCACCCCATGCATGACACTGCTGCAGTTCGATTCCATCAAGCGATGCGGACGCTTGTAGGCAATGTCCATGGCATTTAGACTCGCTTTGTAGCTGGAACAGACATCACGACAATACAATATTACAGAAAAAGTTCCCAGAAATGTTAAAAACCTATGTCCACCATCAAATAGAGCCAACGTACTGGTAGCTAAAATTATGTCCTCAGTATGCTATGAAGAACTAAGAAAGATTATCATGATAAACAAAATGACATTTATTAACAGTTGGAAAAAAGACAAAAATGAAAAAAAAATACAACAAATACCAAGAAAAATGTCAGACCAGCAACAAAAAAAAGAGCCCCCAATCCAATGAGCCCATCCATTGCAGAGTGAAGAATCGACAAATATCCCCCCACCATCATATAGTAAATACTGGCAGACCACCTATACTAAACAGTATCATGTTTCAACAAATGTTCTTTTTTATAGCAGGTCGTCCTCACATCCTTTACTCTGTTACACAACAAGGAAATCTGCTTGGCTCATAGAAAAATTTACAATGTATCATAAAGAATGATGTAAATGACTACAAGCTACCACTGTTCCTGAGCAGAAGTCGAAAAAGAGTGTGTGTCGTACACGTGTGCATGCTGGTCTTACATAAATGCTTGTCTTTATAAATAAATGTCTTACATGAGTAAGTGTCTTACATGCGTGCGTGTCCTACACGAGTCAGTGTCTTACACTTACATGAGCATGTGTCTGGCATGAATGTATGTTATTCAGGAGTAATGCATCTTACACAAATGTATATCTTAATGAAAGCATGTCTTATTTAAATGTACGTCTATGTATGTTTGACAGTGCTTGTCTTACATGAATATATGTCTTCCTTGAGTATGTGTCTTACATGAAGGTACGTCTATGTATGTTTAACATAAGTGCATGTCTTACATGACTGTGTCTTACAGGAGTATGTGTCTTACATGAATGTCTTAGTTTAGTATGGGGTTTTACAGCGCTCGCAACAGTAGAAGGTCATATGAGCGCGCAAAACAAGTTGGTTTATTTCTTGGTATGGTACTGGTCAATATTTATATTTAAAAATTTGAAAACGCTTAAAATCGAGTGTAAATAGATTTTAGATTTAAATTTAAATTTAAAACTACTTTCTGAATGACATTTCAAAATTCATAACTTTCCATAAAGGCCAATGGCCTTTATAAAATCCAAAATTCTGTTGGGATCAACGACGGAAAAAATGTCTTGCAATTTATTGCATTAAAAATATTTCCTTCGGGTCTCTTCGAAGTCTAGACATTCGGTTAAAATGTGTCTAATGGTAAAATCATGCGACACAGAACGGCTTCTCATCTCCCTGAAGGAGGTATTTGTATGTCTTACACGATTGCATGTCTTACATGAATTGACGTTTTACACAAGTGCATGTCTTACAGGAGGATGTGTCTTACATAAATGTATGTCTTACAGGAGTGTGTCTCACAGGAGTATGTGTCTTACATGAATGTTTGTTTTACACGAGTGCGCGTCTTACATGATTGTGTGTGGGTAGTCCTTGAGCCTGTCCAAGCTGACAAACTTATGTACAATAGCTTCCCTCGGGGTGATGCGGCGCTCTTGGTCTAGCGTGAGCATCTTCTTCAAAAGGTCCACAAAATCCTGGCGATCCATCTTCTCCACTAGCAGCTCGCTGCCCTCCATATCTGTGGGGACGTTGATCTGAACACAAAACAAATCAAATTTTGAATACAAAGCAAAACCAAACGTCACAAATAACAGTTGATCTGAGTCCAAACAAAAAGTCATCCTTAAAAGGAGAACTGTTTGCCTCTGAAAATTTTCAAAATTAAATTGCATTAGAAGGGAAAAAAATTGGAAGACCAGAAAAACATGGAAAAAGTAGAATCTAACGCTGCACCACTCCAAACAGCAATTAACAGCAACGATCATCTCGATCATCTCGTGTAGAGAGGAACTTACAGCAGAGCTTACAATATTCATAGTGCTCCACACACTTCCAACATGAACAGCAGCAGCTGTTTGGAGGGGGGACCTTTCGCCATACAGTAGAACTAGCCAAAGAAAACCCACAAGCCAAATTTGAACATCATCAAAGCTACAATATCAAACAACTTTCCTTTTGCAGTGAACATAGAAGGCAAGACTGAAAACGTTTGAAGCTTTAGAAAATGAAAGTCTTAAAAGAGCAGCTTAGCCCCCCCAACCCTCATCCATTTCAAAACCTAATCCATCACTTAATAAATTTTCTTTTCGCTACAAAGATTATTTATTTCCTAAAACTTTAAAAACCGTTACTTAAATGTAATCCATCTCTTTAATGACAAGTAAAATTTATGCTTAATGAATTGCGATCCTAAAAGATTGCCTTGCAATTCTCATTTGAAAAAATGGTCCCAGTAAATATTGTTAACAAAATAACAACAATCGTAACTAAAATGAGAAAAGATGAAAAAAACTGACACTTACATCCCTCCTCCTTACCTGGCCGATATCCTCTAGGCAATTGAAGATGTATTTACGGGCTTCTTTGGACTTTATCTTAGTTTCGTGCTCATGTTCTTCTGGAGACTAAAACCATAAAAAAGTAAAAAAGGTTAGACAAATGCATAATTAAGTGTTCCTTGTCATATCATATATAAAACACGCACAAACATATCATTTCATTAAGCATCTGTATAACTATAGACATACAGAAAACATGACTCAAAAATGTTCCTCTGGAGACTAAAACTATAAAGAAGGAAAAAGGTTAGATGAATGCATTGTAAGTGTTCCTTGTCATACCATATAAAACACACACATACAAAAGCACATCATTTTGTTAAGTATTCGTATAACTACAAAGAGAAAACAGTACTCAAAAAAGAGTTATCATCCATTCCCCATTTCTCAAGATGTCGAAGTAAATTTGTACACAAGCGACACAGGGTCAGATATATGTTTTAGGTTGAGTAGAGAGATAAACATGGACACAATAACAGTGACTTAGAGCTGCAGAGACAACAAATGGAGAGCTAAGAAGCACAACCTATAACAATCCACTTATCAAAATAAATAAAATGCACAAGTCTGAAAATTTCTTTCCATTAAATATGTAAACTTTTATTATCTAAACTGTGTCGATGGGGGTGCAAAACACCTACATCTAAAATATTTTTTTAAAAGGCACTGTGTCTTACCTTGAGTCTCCAGAAGGGATAACTGCCGTCAGTGTTATCTCGAACGAAGAAACGGTTGGTCTTGGTGGCGGCACTCAGCATGTGCTCTGCTGGCAGACCTTGTGTTTGTGAGATGTATCGAATCTGGGGGTAGGGACAGGTTGGTTTGAGCAAAAGAGAAGCACACTAGAGACACACCAACAATCGCATATAGTGGGGTAGGGGGTATGGTGAGGGACCGAAACCAGTGAACAGGAACAAGTATGACCTTCTAATGGGATCTAATGGGATTTTTAACAGGTGTGTTTATCAACAATCAGCATTCCAAAGGTGTCTTTTTAATTATTTGATTTATAAGGACAACAAGCTGCTGACTCATGTGCACAAATTTGTGACTGTCAGGGGGAAAAAAAAAGATCTCATATCTAGTGATAGCATCATTCACCTTTATAAGTATTGACACCCAAGTCTGGTTTAACGTTAGTGACAGAATTCTTTTTAATTGCAGAAGTCACAATTTCTTACACAGTACATCAAAACTAGACAGAGAAAAGCAACTCGACTGAGAGAAAATTTGGCAAGACAAACACGAGGGAAAAGTGTGCATTTTGGAATGTTCATTTGACTGCTTCTATGAGTAAAGAGAAGAGAGTAAGTAGCACATCAATGCAACGATGATCACTTCGCACTGCGGGGGAAAAAGTAAGCTAGACATACAGACAGTAAGACTTACAGGTGGCGCCCTCCCACCGCCTACATTGTGGGCTCAGTCCACTCACCTGGTCATACTCTGAGGAGCCAGGGTAAAGAGGCCAGCCCAAGAACAGCTCTGCTATGACACAGCCCAGGGACCACATGTCGATGGCTTCACAGAATGGAAGGCCAAGGAGAATTTCGGGGGCTCTGGGAAAAAAAGAGACAAAAAAGAGAAGAACGTAAGTATGGAGGTCGAGTAAAGTGAAGCACACAGACACAACTACAGTCTTTAAGTTGGTTTTCTTTTTTAAGTTTTAGTATGAGTTTGACAGCACTTGTACAATAATTAGGTCATAAATATTAGAAGGATGAGAAAAAAAGACAGATGTATCATACAAAAAAAGGAGCAAACCACACCAATGCACCCACCAACCAAATCACGCACAGACAGAACAGAGAGAAAGTAAAGAAGTAAGGTGTACCCATGGCGTCTTCTTTTGTTTTAGTGTTTTACGGTACTTGCAACACAATAAGGTTATATAAGTTCCGAAAATTAGGGGTGTTACAAGACCTTAACAAACCCAAAAAAGAAGGAGGGGAGATAAAGACAATAGATGTTTGATAGGAAAGAAGAAGCAAACCATACCAGAGCACCTGCCAACCACCTACGTGGCATCTTCAAACTACCCATTTAGAGTACTACACCACATCACAACAGCATCAACACTTCAAAAAGAATAAGGCAACTACAACAGTCACAGTGAAAAGAAGCTGAAGAACCTACTAGAACCAAAAATAGTACAGGGTGTAGTATCTTTGCTAGAACTTCAAACAACCATCCCCAAGGGGTCTAGTACGTAACCTGAACTCATTGAGTCAGAATCAGACAGAGAGAGAAAGAGAGGAGTTGGTTTTAGTAAGACTTTTACGGCACTTGCAACACAATAAGGTCAAATATAAGTGTCGAAGATTAGAGGTGTTACAAGAGAGTAACATAACAAACATAAAAAGGAGGAGAGATAAAGACGATAGTTGTTTAATAGGAAAGAAGGAGCAAACCACACCAGAGCACCCGCCAACCACCCACAAA